CTACACGTCATCACCCCGGCGCGTCACCAACTGGACATGTGAGTGCCACAGCCCTCAGCACAGCCAGCCCGGACTTCCCACTGCATCTTGCCCTTCCCCACTAGGCTCTTTCTGCCTCAGGGCTTGCAGGAACATAGGTCTTCTGCAGCTTCATCCAGTAAAAGGGCGAAAGGCTCAGGAGGGAAACAGAGGTGTTGCTGGATGAGTCTGACCCTGCTCTGCATCCCAGTCCTCACCACAAGAGTCAGCAGAGCCCAGAACCCTCTTCCTCCCCCTCAGGCCACCCTCCCTTGGCCTGCATCTGCCTTGAACCACCTCTCTACCACCCTGGTCCAGTCCATCCCACCCATTTCCTCCAACACCACAGCAGTGCTCATTTACCATTCCAGTTTGAACCCTGTGCTGGCACAGTCCCTACCAGACCAGTGTGTGGGTGTCAGCAGGATGACAGTGGCCTGCATAGGGGTTTTCCCAGGAAAGGGGCTCCAGCCCCAGCACATTTGGGGTTGCACTTCTGCCAGGTGACCCCAGTCTGGGTGCAGTTGTGACTCCAGACCTTTCTTTTCCTAGATCCTTTGCCCCTGGAACAGCTGACCCTCAGCAGTCATGGCCACAGCACCTCTCTGCAAGCCTCCTGGAGAGCAGCTTCTGCTGGCAGTACCAGCTACACAGGCACCCTTTGCGAGACCAAGCTCCAGGAGAGAGTCAGGAATGTGACTGTAGGGAACAACTGGACAAATGTCACCTTTAAGGACCTGGTCCCTGGGCGACAGTATACACTGGAGATGGCTGCTATGGCTGGACCTTACAGATCCCCTGTGCGATCAGCCACAGACTGGACATGTGAGTGTGATAGTCCTACCTCAGCCCTACTGCTCGCTGCCACCAGGGCCTGCCAACGGCAGCAGAGAGCTCATGGGACAGGAGCAAGGCAGAATGTGGACCATATGTGGGGAGACTACCAGGGGCAGGGGTGCAGATAAGCAAAGAGTGGAAGGACAAGCAGAGTCACATTCAGCCACGTTGGAAGAAGAAGGGTGTTCAGTGCAGGAGAAACCCATCACTGAACAGAAAATGTGTCCAAATGTCACACAGCAGTAAAGGCAGGGACCTGCTCCTGTGTTTGTTACAGAGCAGAAGCTCAGGCTGTTCTGGGGTTTGATGTGCTAGGGCTGGCTTCTGACCTGAGCCCAACAGGGATAGGCAGTGGAGGGTGTTGACCCCCACTCATCCCACAGCAGCTCCATCACCATCACCCCTCACTGCCTGGATGTCTCTTCTCTCTCAGATCCTCTAGCTCCAGCTGGTGTGACCCTGGCCAACACCCGGCACCCACTGGGACTCTCTGCCTTCTGGGACAAGGCTGCTGGTGATGTGGACCAGTTCCATCTCCAGCTCTACAGCAAGAGCCATCCAATGCAGAGGAACATCTCAGTGGGGCCGAACACCCACAACTTCACATTCCTGGGGCTCTCTCCTGGTGTTCAGTATTTCCTGAAAGTCACCGTCCTGGCTGGCCCGTACCGATCCTCATCACACTTTGCCACTGAGTGGACATGTGAGTGAGGAGTCTCCCCAACCTCCTGCAGGGACAGAGCATCCTGGTGCTGCCCAAAATACTGGCAGTGACACAGATGTATCTGGGCTGAGGGAGGACTCCAGGGACACCTGCATGCTCCCTGCCCTGAGAATAGGAGCACATGTCTTGAGTTAAGTGCCATGTTCTGGCTTCTGGGCCCCAAAAGACCATTTTCCCCAGCTCAGGCTTTCCCCAGTCAAGCTGAACCTTCTGCCTAAACCACTCATGACCTCAAGGCCAGCCTGTGACTGGGGAGAGAGGGATGTGGGAGAGGAAACACAGAGACTTGGGTGGGCTTGATCCGTGTCCATGGAGTAGAGCAGCCCACCATGAGGCTGAGAGCTCTCTCCTCAGTACACGTCCTCCCTGCTAGCAGCACCTGGGGACATGCACAGGCAACATGTCTTCCAGGACACCTGGAGAGCTGGCAGTCAGCTGCTGCCATTTCTCCTTTAGTTCTGTGCAGAGCTGCAGGTTGTGTCCTGGCTTCTCTACTCACTTTCTTCTACCCTCTCATGGACCTCCATGCTCTGTTTTGCCCTAGATCCACTGTCTCTGGCTAACGTGACTGTACAGCCCGGCCGGAGACCCCAGGAGCTACGTGTGAGCTGGGTGGAGTCAGGCAGTGGCAGAGAGCACTTGGTACAGCTTTCAGTGGCTGAGTCCCTGTCCATCATTAGGAATGTGTCTGTCCCCCGTGGAGTCACCCAGATTGACCTGGAGGGGCTGGTGCCAGGGTCCCGCTACCGCGTGGAGATAATTTCTCAGGCTGGGCCTCATCGCATCTCCTCTCAGACCGTCATTGGCTACACGGGTAGGAAGGCAGCAGCTCCACAGCCCTGGTACCCAGCCTGGCCCTGACCTGCTGAGGAGTTAGGGACAAAGGTGGGGACGGGGCAGTGGATGTGTCTGTGGCTGCCCCATCCCTGGAAGTGTTGAAGGGCAGGTTGGATGGGGCTTGGAGCAACCTGGGCTGGTGGGAGGTGTCCCTGCCCATGCAGGGGGTTGGATCTAGATGATCTTTAAGGTTCCTTCCAACCCAAACCAGTCTGGGTTTCTGTACTCAAGAGTTGTACAGCTCCCAGCTTCATTCCCAAACTAGTCAGTCCTTAGCATCCCAAACTTGTTGCT